CAGAAGGCACAGGGACCAGCATTTAATGGATTCATTTAATGAATTCTCTCTTGGCTTTTTTGAAATCAATTTGGTCTCTGAATTTAGGCCTGAATGTTGTTCCTTCTCTCTGTAAAACTTTCTGGAGCAGCTGAGCGAGCCATGAAGGAAGAGGCTGAGAAGAAACAGGAGCTCCTGAGACAGAAACAGAAAGAGCAGGAGCAGATAATGAAGGCCCAAGAGAAAAGCTTCAGGGAGAACATGGCTCAACTGAAGGAGAAGATGGAGAGGGAAAAGGATAACATCCTGAGGGAGCAAGAGAGGATGCTGGAGCACAAGCTGAAGGTGATTTCTCATGTCCCATGATACATGGGGACAGCTGTCAAGCCTGCCACTGCGCAATCCCTCCTTACTCTCACAGGAATCCTTACTAGGATTCCTGAGGGAATCCTAGGAAACTCGGAGCATGGCTGTTCTCACTGCAAGGAAGCACATGGAAACATACACTGTCATCAAAGAGTATTTTGTGGGTGGAAATAGAGGTGCATCCTTAGCACTTGCAATTGTTGAGGGCAAATCCCAGACCCTTGATGAGTGTGATTTTATGCTTATAGGTCCAAAAAGAATTGCTTGAGGAAGGATTTGCAAAGAAATCTGAGGAGATGAACACAGAAATACAGCGACTACAAAAAGAATTTGAAACAGCTAAGAAGGACAAGTCCTCTCTGGGTGCACGTGTCTTTCATGGGATTGGCAATGTGTTGATTTCAGAATTGCCAGGTGCTGGTAAGCTGCTTGGTGTGGGATTCAAAATTTTGGGTGAAAATATGAAATAGGCTCAAAATTTCTATTAGCAAATGATAAGTAGACCTCTTTTGTTTTTCTGAGGCTCAGTTTTGAAGTCTGTGTTTCAATTTATTAAGTCAAAAATAAAAGGTATGTATCAAAGCCTGCTACATACAAGATAAATTTGTTTTGACAACATAATAAAAGAAAAGACTAAATCTGTAATGTCAACAAATACCATGCAATACAATTATCTGGAAATCAGTAAAAATCATGTTAAGACATTTGTAATTATGGGAGTTCACAATTTTTAAATGTACAGAAATAAAAATGTCAATATATACTACATCAATGTAATTGAAATAAATACACCAAATATTTTCTTTAGAAATACTGTCTGTGGCAAAAGTCCCAAGCAAGGTAGACAATGAAAATCTGAATAAAGCAGATAAGAGAAAACACAAGCTGGTAAACTGTCTAACGTATAGCCAATGATGCTAGCCCCTGGATATTGGAACAGCAATACAATAGACTTGGAAGTCTAAATACTTTCATAGAGTCACTCAGGATTTGAATACATAATAAAGTTCACACGTTGTAAAGTATTCAAAAAAATTGAAAAAAAAGTTGAAGTTCTTATATATTCTACCAAAAAATGTCAAATGAATCAAAATACAGACATGAAACACTATACTATGAAAGTAAGTGTGGTGGAAGAATACTCAAATAAAAATTCTGGAGGGATGCCCTTTCCCAGTGTGACATATGAGAAACACATTTCAAAACAAAGAAGTGATAACGTTATCTACATAAAAAGACATTCTCCAAAGAAAAACATTAGCAAAATATGAAAAATGACAAAACAAGGAATATATTTAGTCACAAAATGTTAAAATAATTTATAAAAATGCTTTAAATCACTGAGATTAAAGACTAACTCCCTTGAAAACATTGAACAAATATCTAAGGTGAAACTAAAGATGTTCAATTTCAACAGTAAGAGGTGTTGAAGATCAAGAAGGAATGAAAACCACTTTTGTTTTGGTCGGTTTTGTTTTGACACAAGCATTTAGGTAAACAGAAAATATTTTTACTTTACTACTAAGAGTGTGAATTACTACAACTATACACCAAAACAATCAGTGCACAAGTCTTTGATCCATCTTGAAATTATCTTTAATGACCCATCTATCAAATTTCACATGTAAAAGAAAAGACTAAATTGGTACTCTCAACAAGTATCACACAATACAACTATCTGGAAGTCAGTAAAACTCATTTCAAGACATTAATTATCAGAAGTCACAATTTTTAAATGCACTGAAATAAAAATATTGATGCTTCTTACATCAATATGCAGTGAATCTAATGTAATTCATTTTTGTAGCAAGGAATCTGAGCAGAAAACTGAAGACCACTAACTCTTTGTGAAATACTAGTGATAGATACCAAAGGACATTATGCAAAGGAATACTCTACAGTCACTACAATAAAAGGACAAACTCATGCGTACTAATACAAGAGAATCTTGAAGAGTTATCATAAAATGTAGAGAAAAGACAAGTGATGTCTATAGATGCTCCCACTGAATGAAGAAAACTACATACATACTGATATTATATAACTCAAGACAAATACACAATAAACTAATAACGGTAGTCAAAATAAACGCTTTTTATGTTGACTTACTTTTTTATTCTTGACTTGAAATCTTATTAAATAGACTATGCCTTCACCCTTGTTTCAGAGTTTCTTTTCAGGAAAGGTGTCTAATAGCTACGTTCTTGTAGATGACCTGATTCTTCATGTAATTAAGGTTTACTTATAATCCCACTGGGGTGCAATAGGGTTGTAACTCAGTAAGAGAGCATTTACCTATGCCAGGCCCTAGATTTGATCCACAACAGCACAAACAGAAAGAAAATAAAACACTCAAGAAAATTCCTTGAGCTAAGCCTGAATTGTACCAACTGGGTTTTCTGAGGCTCCTGAACCACTGTGCAGTTGGTTTCTCACTGTCCTTGACAGCCACCTACAGGGCTCTCTGGCTTCTCACCTTGCTTCTTTGTATCACTGTGTGAAGAAGCTCACTCACTCATTGCCACATGTCAGCTTTTATGACCAATATCAGTAACCCTTGGTGGTTACATTTGAGGGAGCCGGTCTTAGTTACTTTTCACTCTTGTTGCTCAGACAAAATACCTGATGCCCAAGGTTAGGAGAGGAAAAGTTTATTTCTTAAATTCTCAGAGGTTTCAGTCTCTACTCAGTTGGCTCCAAGGCAAGGTGGCATAGTGGGACAGCCATTCATAGCCGCTGCAAACTGCAAGTCCCAAAATGGCAAGAGAGAGAGACACCTTCTTCCCATGGATATATCGGATCCTGGCTCCACTCCTGCGTGGGTGAAACTCCCACACCACCATTCCAAGTGCCAGACAACAAACCAATCACAAATGCTAGATTTGGTTGCGTCCATAATTGCATGAGGTTTGGGGGCCACTGACATAAACCATGACAGAGCCTAAATTGGCCTTTTGAAGTCAAAATTCTCCTTTTTGGTTACAATAAGAAAATGTCCAAATTAAACTGTGCTGCATATGTGTACTTGAATAACAGCAAGGAGATAGGAATCTTTAAAAAATCTGTCTGCAGTCATGGCAGTGCCTTCCCTTTGAAACATTGGGAATAGGAAGAAGTAGTTTCTGTGACAGGAATGCTGGCCTTGAAAGGAGGGCATAGCTGGCATGTGCCACTGGGCCTGCTGTTCCCCATGTCTCAATCATAGAAGGGTGTCCTGCTCTTTCCACCCACTCTGACACCAGTTATCAGTGACTTGGTTACTGATTCAGAAGCCAGTGCTTCCTAACCTTAAGGTAACTCTTCCTAATTAAAGAATCCACATGCTTATTACACTTCTCCCTCATGGGTGCTGAAAGGGCTCAGCATCTAAACACGTAGCATATGGCTAACTGTAAAATATCTGAAATGAGTTACCGCATAAATAAAATTAACCCCTTATTGCCATCCAGTTTTATTTAATTTGGTAGCAGGACAATGCAATGGCTATTAGAACCCTGTTTCTTCTGTTGAAGCCCAAACAATTCCTTACCCTAAGCAGCCTCTTCAGTCTAAACCACCAGTATATAAAAGAAGCTATCTGAGCACAAACCCTAATATATAGATGTTGCTTGTAATTAAATGTCTAATAGTAAGTGACTAGTTGAAAAGCAATAATCTACAGAGAAATTTCTTGAAATAAATAATTTCCTTTTTAAAATGTAAAATGCTTTATATTATCCCTTTGTATTTGTAAGATTATACTATACAAATGCTCTCTTTTCATTGAAAACAAGTTCTTTCAAAACGATAAACAATTAAATAATAACTTATTAAATAAATAACTAATTCATTCACTTTGCTAGTAATCCTGTGAATCTTGGAGTATATATGGTTTTATGGTCTAATCAGGTATTTTTCATAAATAGAATACCATTAAATATATCTGAAATTACATCATCATTAATCAACATTTCTAAATTTAACTTCAGACAAATAAATTAGCTTTTTCTGGAAACAAGCTTGATAGGTAGAAAATTCACCAAAAAATTTACCTGTTCCTGGAAACTCTTTTGGTTTACCTGATATAGGTGTAAATTTTACTGGTGAGAAGAAAAATCAGCTGATTTCCTAGCAATGCTCCTATTTTGAAGCAGCCTGGCTTTCACTTTCCATCTGCTCCCATAGTTTCAGTTTGTGTCTTGAAACAAACACTGGAATTTGGTTTCCAGGGAAATTGGGAGTAACTTTATTTCTCAACATTTAGAAAAACAGGAAGCTAGCAGCCTGAAAAACAGAATGACAGAGCAGAAATGAACAGAACTGAGTAGGCCTTGCCAGCTAGTTTAGGGTTAAAGAGACAGGCTGACTGGCTGTGGTAGAATCCAAACCTCTATTTCTGGTAGCCCATGTAAAAATCTTGCTCTAAATTATCCAACATAACAGAAGAGACTCCAAATTTTATAAATGATCAAGACACAGCAGAGACAACTCTTTGTATGTGTGTGTGCACACATGCGTGTGTATCGAGACTCAAATTCAGGACCTTGCACATGCCAGGCAGACACTGTACACTAAGATATAGCCCCCACCCCATGACTTTTTATATTAGACATTGGGTTATACAAAGCCAGTGTGATGGTGCATGCCTATAATCCCAGCATTCTGGAGGCTGAGACAGGAGGATCTTTGTAAGTTCGAGACCAGCCTGGGTTACAAAGTAAGTTCAAGGTCAGTCTGAACTGCATAGTGAGACCCCTGTCTCAAAAAGACAAAAAAAGACAAAAAAAAAAAAAACCAACCAAACAAACAAAAAAACCCCATCTTATATAAGTGGAATCACACAATGTACATTTTTCTGTGTCCAAATCCTTTTGTTGAGAATGATAAATGTGATGTTTATCCATGTTTAATGTAACTAGAAATTAATAATGTTTATTACTAGAAATTTTGTGTTTAACAAATATATCACATTGATTACTTATTAACAGTAGAAGGACAGTTACATTTTCATTTGGAGCTACTATATATATTCCTCTTATGATTGCATTTTCATCAGGTTTATATTTAGGTATCATGTAGCCAAGTCAAACAATATATTTATTCCATTTAGTAGATAATACAAAATGATTTTCTAATGTATACTTTTATCATCCCCAAACTTATAATCCCCCAACTTTACAAAACAACAGTAACTTTCAAAAGGTTAACATTTGTTTGTATTTCATGATCTTACTTCTATCTGTTTGGAAATGATGCTCCTGTGAAAACTAGCAAAATGGTGTATGGAATAATCTGCAGTTTCTGATTGAGCTGGTTTTGTAAGTACCTCAAGAAGCAGCAGGGACGGACATTATTGGGGGAGGAGAAGTGTACAAAAGAAAAGAAAGGGTGGAAAGAAAGATATGGATTCAGAAAAAAACTGGGCAGGAGTTAAAATACCACCCTTCTTAGGTGGGAGGAGTTGATATTGTCCTACAGAGTTGGCTATTCCTCCAAGATGTTGGATTACATTGCTCCTGGACTGTTGAGCCCCTGAGTGGCCTAACTTTGCTGGTGAGTTTGGATGGGAGCATCTAAAGTCATTTAGGAAGAGTCCACTTCATAACAAGAAGGTAAGTTGTTCCTGCTCCTGCACCCCTCAGAAACCTCCTAGTTAAAGCCTGGCTTCAGGAAGATGTGCCTTGGACACATTCTGTGCTATCCTTTTTATTTCAGATGTTTGTATGTCACCCTTTTCTCCCCTTACATCAACACAAATGTTAATTCTGAAGGTCTTGCAGTGATAACAATGTGAATGAAGTAAAAAAATGTGAATTAAGAGCTTTTACTAGTAGGCTGATTGGCCTGTTACTAAAGTCAAAAACTTAAAACTTCTTGCCCTACAATGGATGGCCTCTGACAAGTTGTGGAGATGCATCTGTGGGCATTTTTAGCTCACATTAACAACCTGTTAGCAACATTTTTTACAGCAATTTGTGTATGTGCATTTTGACAATCACATTTCAGACATCAAACACCACAGACAGATGCCAGACTATCTCTTTTTAAATTTCACAAAGAGATTCTTGGAACCAATGGCAAAGATGTTCCTTCCAATAATCTTCATTCAATATTTCAACCAGAGAAAGAGGAATGAACAAGGCTCCGTGACTGCACTCACATGTAAATGGGTCTGTAGTTACATGATGCGATACTGTCTTTCAGGTAGCAGAAGAGCAAAAGTCACAGCCATCACAGAAATTAATATTTATATCCATAGTTGAAACTATACTTCGATGCTGTGTAACTCAGATTAGAATAATTTCTACTGTCCAATTCCTACCTGTTCAACATAGTTTTTCCTTCTCTTTACAGATTACATGTAGCCTCCACAGAGAAACTTTGTCTACCTAACTATCTTCCGTATACAATCTCTTCCCTGGGGAAGCCAGCATAATATGTGGATATAAATGTACCCCACTGGATGGAGTATATACATGTATATGTGTTATGGGGAGGAAAAAGATTTTCAAGTTTGGGGAGCTATTCTATGGCAAATTCTTCCAACCCACAGACGTATAAAATTTTAAGCAGAATATTTGCTTCTTTTATTTGCTTACTTTTATTTTCTATTTTAAATAATCACTACTCATCAAAGGTAATACTTAATCAAGGGGAAACTAAACACCAAAAAAATCTTGTCCAACTATTGTGTTACTCAAGAAATAACTTCTAAGGAATAAGCACTAGAAATGTTTAAGTTTGTATTTATTTTTCCTTCCAAAAATCAGTGATGAAAATTACACTCAGAAATGTTCATCTGAAAAATTCCCAATATCTGAGTTGCGAGGCAACAGGGAAGCCAATGGCTTGAGGACTGCCGACGCCTGTGTACCGGGAAAATATACACTTGCTATCTCCCTTCACTCTTTTTTTTTTTTTTTATTTTAAAGAGAACAAAAGAAAACAGAATGAAACAAAGCAAATCAGAACAGGAAAATGCAAGCAACACAGCATTTCACAACAAAACAACTGGACATCAATAGTAGCTAACTATTTCTTTGAAATAGTTGAGCATATCTTCACACACAATAATATCAAAGATAACAATATAGTAAAAAAATTAAAAAGAATGAAAACATTACAGGACTTCACAACCAAATAACAGGAAATGAACAATGGCTGCTATAATACCTC